CCGAGGGCGCGGCGGACGCGGAGCCGGAGTGCGGGGGGGCCATCCCATTCTCCGCCAGCAAAGCCAGTCCGCGGGCGTGGAGAGTCAGCCAGTCTATGGGGAGCGACCACGAGAGGTCATGGATGAAAGTGCTGCCACTCAGTCTGCTGTGCACCGGACTGCTGCTCTGGTGCGTCTTCAGGGAGAAAACGGAGATTGATGAGCAACTAGAAGCAGTTTTCTCTGGTCAGATCACGGACTCCTTAGATGATGCCCAAAAAAGTAACGCTCCTTTGCAACCCCAGAAGGAGAAATGAAAACAGGACTGGGGCAGCAGTGAAGGGGATGCCAAAAGTTTACTGGCATTCACCTGGTTAAAAAGTGACGCTTCGATAGGAAAATCTGTTTTTTCAGCCTATGGGCAGCCTTAGCTTGCCAGCTTGATTCCTTTCTGTGTCTTTCTGTGCTGGTCTTAGCTTAGTAACTAACATTGGTAGCGCAAGGAGTAGTTTATTCCTGCAGCGCACAGTAGGCATGAACAGGACGTATTGCAAATCAGCTTGTATTTGAGGATATGTTTTATGCAACCCATTTCTTTTCCATGGATTGTTTTTCTTAGGCGCACAGTGTATTAAAGTATCAAAGCTGTCCGTCTGTAAAATGCTGAAGGTGACCTTCATTTGACATTTTGCTAGTCACAGAGTATGTTCAACTTATATTGAAGACAGCTCTTAAGTGTCTTATTCATTAATGCATGATTCTTTGTGGATTTTTTTTTTTTTAATTCTGCTAAACATAGAAATTATCTTCAACCCTTATGTAGTTGGCACTTGCTTTGTGGAATAGAAATTTTTTGATGTGCTTGGATTAAGGTGATTGTTACTGGTAGGAGAGGTTCTTTCAGGGAATCAAAGTGGTTGGCTTGCATCATATTGGAGGGAAAAGCCCTAGTTTCATTGAACAGTGTAGCATCTAGTTTTTTCTACAAATGCATAGATACTCAAGCTTGCACACTGGAAACTTTTCTTGGAGAGTTCCCTTCAAAGTTAAAGGCATGTGTTTTAAGCTTTTAAATGTAAAAATGCAAATCTGGTTTTGTGCCATTAGAATTCCTAGTTATGTAAAAGAAACAAACAAACAAAAAACCCACCAAAATCCCCAAAGAATCCTAAGAAACCCAAACATGACAGCAGCGAGTAAGACTGGTTGGAAGTACAGAGATAATGGACTTAGCATTGAGTTCTTGTATTTTAACTGTATGACGCCCAGTAAATGAGTACAGTTGGTTTGCTACTGTCAAGAGGGTTTAAGTTGTCTTGGGATTCAACTTTTACTACAGTAGAATGTTTTAAGTGAGATACATGGACAGGGGCATCCTGATGAATAGAAGCGTGATCCTGAGTTTTACTTGTATTGACCTAAGGTGTAATGTTTGTTTCTGTGACCAGCTTTCTTCATGTATTGCGTTGTTCAGGGAAACAAAGAGCTGCCCCGGTACGTGTGCCTTATTTTTGGATGCAACGGGTGTTTAATAATCTCTTGAAGCAGAGAAACCCCAGCTGTAGAGGCATAGCTAAACAACAGTGTGTCCTTTTAGAATAGATAACAGAAACGATCTGTCTTGTGTAAGTCTGAAGAAGGAACTTAATTGCTCATGAAGCCCCACAGCTGTGTGCCAACTGGTAAGGACCAGACAACTCAGCATCTTGTGCCAAGGGTGAAAAGTCCCCCGTGAGGAAGACACATAGCCTTCCTCCCCAAAGACCCTCAAGACGACCAGTGGATAGCAATGCACAAGCGCAAGAAGGAGGGAATTTACGATAACGAACTGATTGTGAAATCCCCGCCTTCTCTCGGAACCCTAATGATCAGGCATGAGTGGTTCTGTGAATATGTATGGTTTTACCCCCTATACTCCCAGCTCCCTCTCCCTTCGGGGTGCAAGTGTGGTGGAGCGATCCCCCTTGCACCCTGTGCCGTAATAAACAGACCTGCTTTGTAACTCTCCCGAGTTAGAGAGTTGGTTTCCGCACGTCACTCTCCCTGTAAAACTACGTCCCCAGGCTCTTTTCAGGCTGTCCGTGTGCAGCCTGTTGTCGGTGGCGGCTGCCCGCTCCTCCTGAGCACCAGCCCCCG